TTCGTCGTATACTGAGATCTGTCCTTTATCTTCACTTTAATCTATACAGCAATAATAATAATAATATTACAGTATTTTGCAGTTAATCCCCATGCATTCTATGAATAACTTAGGGTTAAAGTAAAATACTTGAAGTTCTGTTATTCGCAATAAAACTTGTCGCAAAAGGAATATGAAGGAGTACAAAATTCATAAATTATGGCTATAAATGGCTCTATTGTTTACCTTTGTGACAACCGGAAACACGTTCAGCGTTACTAGTGTAGTGGAGCTTTTATAAATTTATATTAGCAATTATTATAAATATAAAATAGTGTTTATAAGCTCTTATATTTGAATACAAACACCGCCTTGTAATTTTTTAAGCTTTCGGGAAGCCTTTACAATTGGTCGTTTTAAACTTGATTAAAATCACTAATTTGTTGCACGCCAACATAATGTACAATATATTATCGTTGTTTAATATGTCTGATGAGTGTGCCATAAATAGAATACACGCTATATTACGAAAGCAACAACTTAACTTTATAGTTAACTTGCTACCTGGATAGTTATTTTTCGCGTGTTAATTCTTTAACAAACAATTTAATCTCGCAAATGTAATCTTTAATCAAACGTTCGGGAGTTGTCGAAAAAATTTCGAGGTAGATTACGTTTGCAGCCAAATTTTAAGTTTCTCTAATTTATAAAATAATAATAAAAAAAGCACAAAGACAAATGCTTGTGGACCACTTGTGGAAAATGTTTGCTGAGATAGACGTATGCCGTCCTATATACCACGACGCGTATGATTTATGTGACATGTACAAACAGAAGAGCCTGCTGAAAGAAATTTGTGAGCATTTTGAACTTCAGTTCAAATCAAATGATAAAAAACAGATTCTCATAGATAAAATATCATCCATGATTACACAATGCACATGTTTCCAAATAAATAACTAAATTGTGCAGGTGCGGACAAATACTCCCAGACTAACTTGGACATGTCGAGAGATGTCATTGTTCTTGGTCCGCGAGTGTGAGGAGCCTGGAACAGTATCGTTAACCCAAATCAAGTATCAAAAACGCCGCATACAAACTACGATGTTATGTATTTTTATTGCTATAATTTATACTACTATATATTATGAGACAAATCAAATGTTGCCGAAAAATACCAATTGAAGTTGAAAGTTATTCACAGAATGGCGATTAGCTGCAAACTACTGTAAGATTATTATTATTGCTGTATAGATTAAAGATAAAGGACAGATCTCAGTATACGTCGCAGCTATTGGCCCGATTTATACTAGAGACGGATCATCCGTCAAGACGAATCATCCGTCTGACGGATGATCTGTCTAAGTATAAACACAAGACGAACTATCTAGACGAACTATGTAGACGAATTTGCCAGACGAAATCCGCTGAATGCGAGTAACGTATTGCGTCCATATGCCGTATTTATACTCACAGACGGATGATCCGTCAAGACGAATTTAATACGCACGCAAGTTCGTCTAACTAGACGAACTATGCAGATAATTCGTCTTGACGGATGATCCGTCTGTTTGCCCGCGTTTATACACAGACGAACTAGAAGACGAACTACCTTTTGCTTGCCCAAGTTCGTCCAGACGGATGATCCGTCTCTAGTATAAATCCGGCCAATGTCAATGCAACTAACAACGTTTTATACGATGAATTGAATGGTTTGCATGATAGGACAAAAATTCTGCCAAATGGGCAATGCGGAAAACTTTTAACAGAACATAATAACAAGTTCATGGATTTCATGATTAATTCGATGTGACTTTACGGCAACACACATTTTCGATATTGGCATTGTACCTGCCCGGTCATGAGGGATAGGCTACAGCGTCCTAGACGAATTTATTTCTTCTAACCGTTTTAGAACTCAAAGATCGATCCGTCGCATTTCATCGATCTAATTAAACTTTTCTGAGTTAAATACAATGATATTGTGCAATATATTAGTCGCTATAAAAATTCCGCGAGCAACATTGAACGTGTTTCCGATTATCACAAAGGTAAACAATAGAGCTATTTATAGCCATAATTTATGAATCTTGCACTCCTTCATATTCCTTTTGCCGACAAGTTTTATTGCAAATAACATAACTTCAATTATTCTACTTTAACCCTAAAAGTGTTTTAGACACCAAGTAGGTTGCACTTTTGAGAATTTTTAGTTTGAATTTTGTACCTAATCATTAGTTGTTCGGCGAACGAAAATACCGACTTCCTTGGATGGAGAGTAGTAGGCTTAAAATAAGATGTACATTCGAATTCTTTCAACATTCTAAAAGAAGAAGAATATGTCTCAATACTCTGAAAAAAGTTTTTAATTTGACGCGAAACTTTCCGAGTTATGATGCACAATTTAACACATATTTGACCGCCGTTTTCGGGGTCAAATTTCAGTGTCGCTGACGTCCAGACAAAAATTCGTCATAACTCAAAAAAAAATAAAAATTTAGAAATTCTAATCTTAGTTTAATACCTTTAAGGACAAAGGTAGTTCATGGTAAAAATATAAAGGAAATCTAATTTTCAACTGAAACGCTCTGCATGGTTCTTAGTGAGACAGCCACTTAAAGTGCCTATATCAGGGTCAGGGAAATGACTTTTCCTGATAGTTTAGACGATTTTAAGAACATTTGCAATATATTTGACTAGACGAATATTTGATCTTCATGGACATTTTGGGCCTCAAAGTTGGTGATTTTTCGAATTACCGCGAGCTTGAAAGTACTGGTAACTAATCGGCGTTAACCGCCGGAAGTGATGTAAGAATGAGAACACGCTAATCTTGCAAAGTATCATCATAATAAAACAGCATAGAATTTTAGTCCAAAATATCGTCCGATTTTTTCCGTTTAATAACATTTTGGGTTAACTTTTCGTTAAAACAATGTTGTCAAGTTTTTCCGACAATACGGACAGCCAACTTGATTCGGATATGAATTTTTTACCAACTTATATAATGGAAATCGAAGATGATGCAGTTCAGCCTCCCACAGCTCAACACAAAGCGATGAAGACCAGTGGCCAGGCTTACAACCTTACCAAGACGAACCGATTGCTGATCCAGCTTGGATAGCTCAATACGACGAGGAGACGTTCCGAAGAAGAGAGACGACAGCTGCTTATGTCTCGCTTGAACGGAACCATCCCCGTATTAAATTGGTAGTTGAAATGTATACTATATGTGAGCTCAGACTCAGAGACAGAGCTCGTGTTTACATTCTGTGTAGACGCTACGGCGTACGCAGGATAGTGTCGACACTCATGTAAAAATATTTTCCTTTTCCGTTTGACAAATCACAATGAATATTATATGGTGTTTCTTTTTATTTCAGGTATACATGCGAACTATGTAAAGTCGATTTACTGGTAAATGAGAGAGAGGCTCAATGCTGCCAAGAAATCGAAGGCTGCTTAGAAGCGTTAGGGACAGAACTTGTTTTACAAGAAGTAGGTGCTGAGCCAAATTGCATAACGCTTCATCCAGGCTTTGGTTCGGTCTGTTTATCACCCTGGTCATTGCGTCTGGCAGGGCGTAAATTTCGAAAACGTAGAAGGTGATGAAAACAGGCAAGACACATATATATAATAATATATATATTTATTAAACAATCTAATATAGCCATTTTTAACCCTGATAAATCCCCACAATTTGTTATCAATCAGAACATTTCATTTATATAAAACTATTACAAATATTACATGAAAAGTTTCTTATATTATAGGTGTTTCCGAAGTGTTGCCTATAGAGAGTATATACTATATACTATTGGTTTATGGATACTTGGGAAAGAGAAGAATACCTTTACCAGCATGTGCTTATCATGCCATAAGACAAGCTTTTGGTGGAAAAGACTTCAAAGGTTTTGAGGATGACGAAGAGTTGGAATGATATCATCACAATAATATTATGCATCCAAAAGTGCCAGGGCTTCTGACATTTTAAATAAATCTTGTTAACCTATTAATCGCCAGCACTCTCCCCTTGACGAATAAAATCGTCTTGCATTAGAAAGAGTAAAATAATAAAGTAGGGTGCATCAGGGCACAATGCGACTCAATGGGTTAAATAGACACATGGGCGGATAGGCCAGTTACCCATTAAGCACCAGCGCTCTCCCCTTGATGAGCAAAATCGTCTGCCGTTAGACAGAGTAAAATAATAAAGTGGATTGCATCAGGGCGCAATGCGACTCAATGGGTTAATTCCTAGATTGGTAAAAAAGTGGAAAGTTCCCCGAAGTGGGACTGATGTCCGAAGCATATCCCCCATTTGCAAACACTTGAAGTGAGATCAATACAAAAACTGATTTCGATTAATTTTATAAGGCCAGAAAATAATACCAGGGTTCCTGGTGTTTAGAGCTCACTGGTTTGTGATATGATGTATAAAATTCATAAAAATGAAATAAAAAATTCAAAACCGACCTACTCTTCCTAGGTTTTTGTAACATATAATAGGAAACCATGGTATTTCTTGGCCTAATTGATTTCAAATGCCTCACCACTGGGTTGAGGTAGTATGTAGTTTGCAAATTAGTGTAATGTCAAATTTGTTTGTAATTATTTTTTATTACGAGGACAATCCAAAGTGCCAGGCATCAATGATTGACTTTTCCAGACTTTATTTCCCCCTGGACATATTTTGTTGTTGCACGTCATCTCAACTTGAACCATTGTGCCAAACTCTTTCATTTCTACCAGCACATCAGGCTTCTTGCATGTTGCACAAACTTTGAATAGTTCCAACGATTGTGAGAGGAAGACAACAAACTTCGGTTCCATCATGAGGTTTTCATTATTGGGAAAAATGCTATAAGAATAAAGTTAAGAATATTATTCATTTAATTAAATAAACACAACACTTTGTACAGTATATATTGCCCAAAAACATTTTAAAAGTACTTTTTAATGATTGCATTCACTATTTGCACACCTTTTACCATATGTCACATTTTCAATCGCAGTAGCTCTTATTTCAGCTTTGTGCAATTTTTACAAGCAACTTCAACAGTTTCACGTGTGCTAGTCTAAAATAAAATAATATTAAGTAAATACAATAGTTTACAACTACTAACCTGGTCAATTGCTTGGACAAATGTATCCTCTGCACCACTAGGCCCAGGCCATGTTGAGGGTTCATCTTGATCAGTCAATGTTGAAGTAGATGGTTCACCTTTGTCAGTATAAACTTCAGCCATTGTTGAGGTTTCACCTTGTTCAGTCGAGGTGGAGGGTTCACCTTCCTCTTTTAGCAATGTACTTGACCACTTAACATTTATTACCTGTTAGGTATGAATACATATAATTTTAATGAATATATATGGCACGATTTATTATGCATTCTTATATAACATATTCACATTGAACGAAATTAAGGACTGACGACTGGCAATAGTAAAAACATAATTACTAAATGCATTACTTACAGAATATCGGCGATCTCTTGCGGATAAAGGTTTCATTTCATCGCCACTCATGGATACACGCAGATACCAAAGTTGTCTGTCTTTAGTAGCTGTTTCAATTTTGGTTTCTCAGTCGTCAAACCAACAGCGAATGGTCTCACAAAATCTTCGGCCATAAAATGTCTTGAGCATATCTTCGATGAAGCTGTTGGTTCGAAGTTCAGTCTCTTTCGTTTCACAAAGCCAACCTATCGTTTCCTTCGCTTTATTGCCTCTGGCCGATCGTCATTCGCATAGACGCATACGGAATATTGTGCAGCGATATTCCTTCATTTTGGCTAGCAATGTTGGAGCATCCATATGCTACACACCTATGTGGCATCTCTGAACCATGGACGTTCAGCGAAATAAACAAAAAAACGATAAAATATTCTTTTCTCGTGTTTTAAAAAAGGATAAAGTGTTCAATGTTGCTGTTTTACTATAAATGTCCTGTTGTTCTGAAAGCATGTCTTCTCATTCCTACGTCACTTCCGCCTCACAACACAACTAGTTACCAGTAATTGTATCTCACGGTCAAACACAAAAATTTGCCAAAATCCGCAACTTTGAGGCCCAAAAAGTCCATGAAGATCAAATTTTCGTCTTATCAAATATATTGCAAATGCTCTTAAAATTGTCTAAACTATCAGGAAAAATCATTTCCCTGACCCTGATACAGGCACTTTAAGACCTACTCAGTAATGTGTGTCAGAAGGCAAAAATCTATGTCTATGTGCTTCAGGTAGCAACTATTTGCCACGTTTACTGTAATACTACCACTTGCAAGTGATGAACCAGGTGGGAATCGTAATCGTAGTATAAAAATTAATGCCCAGCATACTGTAAACGTACGCAAAAAAAGCCATATATATATATATATATATATATATATATATATATATATATATATATATATATATATATATATATATATATAATATATTGACAATAATATAGACAGATTATCATAAAGTAATACTGACTACCAATTAATAATGTATGCATACATTCGTATTTTATAAAGTATGATGACTATGAGAGTTTGTGTTCACTATGGCTGAATACATTTATGAAAAGCTAAAGTCACAGACAAAATACATTGCAACACAGCCTATTTAAGGGGCCTATTTAGGCAGGCGCTAAACCGGTGTAAACTATTATGCAAAGATGAACAATACCGTCATTAGTATTTTTGCGCAAGTGAATAAATATATAACAAATCCTACAAGTTGTCAAGTTGATTGGTCAAATTTGACAAATTCCCCGATAATCACGGCCTCGCCTTTGGCGAATAATTGTTCAAAGCCAAAGGCGCAACAATAATCGCGTGTAGTTTATACTTATACGTGATAGTTTCTCAATATTTTGTATTTGCCAAGATACTTTTGTCACAATTGTTTCTATAAATCTATTATCTATACCGACTATACGATAAAGAAGTTCTGCAATATAAACTGTACTATACATACTATAAATACATATTATAATAAAATTTAAATATTAAATAAAAAATATCACTGAGATGATCCTGTTATCCCACAGGCTATATCTATGAAATTGCACTGGTATACCTATATAGCTGATAGTATTTTTTACCTTAATTGAATATTATTATCATGCACAAATTTTCGTTCTCTGTTTAGATTTTAATTAATATAATTATACGAAAATCTTAAAAATAATATAATTTCAAAATCGAAAGTCCAAATTCCATAGTCCAATGTCCAGTCCAGTATTTACAATATGCCATATATTTTCCCTTGTTGGAAAGGCCAAGGTCAAGGCCAAGGTCAAATGACAAGGTCAAGTTATAATGCATCCATCCCAAGCTAATAGAAAACCAACTTTTTTCTTAAAACATACTTTTTTCAATTTGTTTCATGGGGAATCAGATTTCAAAAACACGAAGGCAAAGCGGTCATATTGAACACATGCATGGACATGTTAATTCGGTCATGAAACAAAGCACGCGAATAGTTCATAGTTTTTCCCCTGATGGAAAACAAAATACCCTAAATTCTAAAAATTTGCACAGATAAAAATTAAGTTATAATGCATCCATTTTAAAGTGACAGAAAACCGGCCTTTTTTGTAGTTAGACAAACTTGTTTTAGTCGTGTCAGATATAAAAAAAAGAGGGCATTGAACACATAGTAATTCGGTCAGATAGTCTATGGGCTTCAGTTTTATAGACATTTAATTGTTTGAAAGAGTGATCCTTGGTGCCTCTACTTTTCCTGGCAAGTTGCTGCAAGTTTTCACGCGAATTGACAACAACGAGGCCCTTTACTATCTTGTATAATAATGTTACGCGTGCGATAGCTCTTCCTTTCTCCAATGTATCCCATCCGAGTTTGTCAATCATAGCTGTGACGCTCTCTTGGGGTTGATACTGAGATATTACACAACGGACTACACGCTTTTGCACCACTTCTACCTTGGGGCAACCGTTACTCTCAACACCTTTCCTTGTGTCCCACATAGTTGAAAAATGCTCCATCTTAGTTATGAGAATGGTCTTATATGCTTTCCATTTTAGGGTCGGTAATCTTACCTTGAGATGTTCGAAGTCCGAGTGTTCCATTTTAAATCTTTAGTCAAATGCACACCAAGGTACTTTGAACTGGTGGTTGTTCTTAATAACACACCAAGAAGAACATAGTCATAATGTATGCCTTGTCTCCTGCGACTAATCCGAAGAACTTCGCACTTCTCGGGATTGAAACTCATCTGCTAATCACGTTCCCATTCTTCCATGGCCAATCTCTTCAAGTCTGCTTGCAGTTTGAGAGAGTATTCTTTCGAGTTAATGGGCAGAAGTAGGGCTGTATCGTCTGAAAATAGGTGGGCAGTTGACGAGATATGCTCTGGTAAGTCATATATAAAAATGAGAAATAGTGGCGGACACTTTTATTTCACACGTTTCTGCTCAGCCTCTGGTTCACATATTTATAATCTTATAACATGTCATTAAATTGTGGTTATCTGGATAAACTGTATAAACTTTGCAATTATTTACTTGTTAACTTCAGAATTTCGAGAGCGACTGCTGAGTGCATGTCTAGGTCGTAACTGTAGATTCTCTAACAATTTCTGTACCTTACATACTCCTTCATATAGTACACAGCTAGTGCTTGATATAAACGATCAATATTAGTAATATCAGTAGCGTATAAACAGTTCATATAAACAGTTTTAAAATTAATAGAATGGACATTCAATGTCTGTTTGGCTAGTGTTCAAATGTGCAATAAACATTTGCCGCAGTGACCTCAAAGGCACTACAGAATAATAAGACATCTGTATGCTTTTCCATTTCTGCCTGCACGAAAATATTGCACAGTATCTTCTATAGCCATTTACCCCGCCTTTTATACCTTGCCCCGTGAATGCAAAAGAACGATAGCAGATCATGTTCAGCAAAGTATTTTTCTATTAAAAATGCATATATAATTCTAAAAAGTCGATAGTTATATTGATGTCTCGCAGCAGCGTGTGCCTATTTTAAAAATACAAGCTGGATCTCATGCTTTTCCACAAACTAAATTCAGGATATATCAAGCTACAAAACTAATGACAATGAAAGAAGTTTACAATATTTATAATGTGCCTAGAGTGCATTACTGCAACAAATATGAAATAATTGTATACAGAGTACGTATATTATACTGTGAATATAGTCTGACTTGTGTATAACTTAATTATTCAAGTTGTAGCCTACGTACCGCACGCAACGGAGGAATCTTTGCTTACATCCGGATCCGATAGCATAACTTTAACATACGTTCGATAACAGATAACTATACTTTAAAAAACTTCTTGATTGTACAGTCTCAGTGATGCCAAAACAGTATATATCACACACTTTAACCACAGTTTATAGTAGTCTATAAACTGTGCTTTAACAGGCTTTAAAAGTCGGTAGAGCATGTTTTGAATTTACACAGTTACACAAAGTTGGCGGCATCACAGGATTTCCTCGCTCTTTTTAAAGCAATTCCATATCCCAACATAAGGTAAATCAGTTGGGTTTACGCAACGGAAACAATACATTTCAAAACTGACAACAATCACTAACAGTTCGTTCGCTCGCTCGGTTCGTCTCGTGCTTTCCATGCCAAGTCATGATGACCACTGAAAACTGAACCAAGTTCTGGCTTGACTAATGTAACCCAACACTCAATGATATAAGGAAGTCAAGATATAATATATACGAAATCTTTCATGATTTCTGTAGCAAATTTATATTTTGGCAACCGAAACTATAACACAAAAGTTGTAATTTTCCATGCACCATAAGCACACCTTTCTACCACCCTCCCTTAGTAAAACCATGACCTTCCACCAGAATCTGGGGGTTAACGTCACCAACTTTTACCAAGCTCTTTCCATCCAAAGAGAAAAGAGGCTGGAACGAGGTTGTGCTTCAACCACAAGCACAAATTTACGATGAATAATTACCAGTATTTCTTTATTTTTTCCTTTGATATTAGGGATGCCAACAACTCCAACAACACAAAGAACAACTCCCACAACTCCAACTTCACAAGGAACAGCTGGTACAATTCCAGCAACACAAGGAACAGCTGCTACAACTCTAACAACACAGGGAACAGCTGCTACAGCTCCAACAACAAAAGGAACAGCTGCTACAAATCCAAGAACGAAAGGAACAGCTGCTACAACTCCAAAAACACAAGAAGCAACTGTGACATCTGCAACAACACATGGAGTAGCAACTCCAACTCCAACAACACAAGAAACAACTGCAACATCTCCAACAACACAACGAACAGCAGCTACAACTCCAACCACACAAGAAACAGCTGCTAAAACTCAAACAACACAAGGAAGAGCATATACAACTCCAACAACACAAGGAACAGCTGCTACAACTCCAAAAACACACGAAACAACTGCAACATCTCCAACGACACAAGGAACAGCAGCTACAACTCCAACAACACAAGGAACAGACGCTACAACTCCAACAACACAAGAAACAGATTCTACAACTCCAACAACTCAAGGACCAGTTTCTACAACTCCAACAACTCAAGGACCAGTTGCTACAACTCCAACAACAAAGGGAACAGCTGCTACAACTCCAACAAAGCAAGGTACAGCTGCTGCAACTGAAAACAACACAAGGAACAGATGCTACGACTCCAACAATCCAAGGAACAGCTTCTACCACTCCAACAACGCAAGGAACAGCTGCTGCAACTCCAACCAGACAAGGAACGGCTGCTACAACTCCAACAACACAAGGAACAGCTTTTACAATTCCAACAACACAAGGAACAGCTGCTAGAACTCCAACAACACAAGGAACAGCTGCTACAACTCCATCAACACAAACAACAGCTGCTACAAGTCGAACAACACAAGGAACAGCAGCTACAACTCCAAAAAAACAAGGAACAGATGCTATGACTCCAACAACCCAAGGAACAGCTTCTACCACCCCAACAACGCAAGGAACAGTGCTGCAACTCCAACCAGACAAGGAACGGCTGCTACAACTCCAACAACACAAGGAACAGCTTTTACAATTCAAACAACACAAGAGACAGCTGCTAGAACTCCAACAAAACAAGGAACAGATGCTATGACTCCAACAACCCAAGGAACACTTTCTACCACTCCAACAACGCAAGGAACAGCTGCTACAGCTTTTACAATTCAAACAACACAAGAGACAGCTGCTAGAACTCCAACAAAACAAGGAACAGATGCTATGACTCCAACAACCCAAGGAACACTTTCTACCACTCCAACAACGCAAGGAACAGCTGCTACAGCTCCAACCACACAAGGAACAGTTGCTACAACTCCAACAACGCAAAGAACAACTGCAATATCTCCAACAACACAAGGAACAGCAGCTACAACTCCAACCACACATGGAACGGCTACTACAACACCAACAACACAAGGAACAGCTTTTACAATTCCAACAACACAAGTAACAGCTGCTAGAACTCCAACAACACAAGGAACAGCTGCTAAAACGCCTACAACACAGGGAACAGCTGCTACAACTGCAACAACAAAAGGAACAGCTGCTACAACTCCAACAACGCAAGGAACAACTGCAACATTTCGAACAACACAAGGAACAGCAGCTAGAACTCAAACAACCCATGGAGCAGCTGCTACAAGTCCAACAACACAAACAACAGCTGCTACAAGTCCAACAACACAAGAAACAGCTGCTACAACTCCAACGACACAAGGAACAGTTGCCACAACTTCAATAACACAAGAAACAGCTTCTACAACTCCAACCACACAAAAACCAGTCGCTACAACTCCAACAACACAAGAAGCAATTGCAACATCTCCAACAACACAAGGAACAGTAGCTACAACTCCAACAACACAAGGAACAGTTGCTACAAATCCAACAACGCCAGGAAAAACTGCAACATCTCCAACAACACAAGGAACAGCAGCTACAACTCCAACCACACATGGAACAGCTGCTACAACACCAACAACACAAAGAACAGCTTTTACAATCCCAACAACACAAGCAACAGCTGCTACAACTCCAACAACACAAGAAACAGCTGCCACAACGTCAACAACACAAGGAACAGCTGCTACAACTCCAACAACACAAGAAACAGCTGCTACAACTCCAACAACACAAGAAACAGTGGCCACAACGAACACAAGGAACAGCTTCAACAACTCCAACAACACAAGGAACAGCTGCTACAACTCCAACAACACACACAACAGCTGCTACAAGTCCAACAACACAAGAAACAGCTGCTACAACTCCACAACACACACAACAGCTGCTACAAGTCCAACAACACAAGAAACAGCTGCTACAACTCCAACAACACAAGGAACAGTGGCCACAACGGTTATAACACAAGGAACAGCTTCTACAACTCCAACAACACAAGGAACAGCTGCTACAACTCCAACCACACATGACAACACAAGGAACAGTTGCCACAACGTTTATAACACAAAGAACAGCTTCTACAACTCCAACAACACAAGGAACAGCAGCTACAACGCCGAACAACACAAGGAACAGCAGCTAGAATTCCAACAACCCAAGGAGCAGCTGCTACAACTCCAACAATACAAGGAACAGTTGCCACAACTTCAATAACACAAGGAACAGCTTCTACAACACCAATAACACAAGGAACAGCTGCTACAACTCCAACCACACAAAAACCAGTTGCTACAACCCAACAACACAAGAAGCAACTGCAACATCTCCAACAACAGAAGGAACAGCAGCTACAACTCCAACAACACAAGGAACAGTTGCTACAATTCCAACAACGCCAGGAACAACTGCAACATCTCCAACAACACAAGGAACAGCAGCTACAGCTCCAACCACACATGGAACAGCTGCTACAACACCAACAACACAAGGAACAGCTTTTACAATTCCAACAACACAAGTAACAGCTGCTAGAACTCCAACAACACAAGGAACGGCTGCCACAACTACAACAACACAGGGAACAGCTGCTACAACTCCAACAACACAAGAAACAGTTGCTACAACTTCAAGAACACAAGGAACAGCTTTCACAACTCCCACAACACAAGGAGCAGCTGCTACAACTCCAACAACACAAACAACAGCTGCTACAAGTCCAACAACACAAGAAACAGCTGCTACAACTCCAACAACAGAAGGAACAGTTGCCACAACGGTTATAACACAAGGAACAGCAAACAACAGCTGCTACAAGTCCAACAACACAAGAAACAGCTGCTACAACTCCAACAACAGAAGGAACAGTTGCCACAACGGTTATAACACAAGGAACAGCTTCTACAACTCCAACAACACAAGGAACAGCTGCTACAACTCCAACCACACATGAAACAGTTGCTACAACTCCAACAACACAAGAAGCGACTGCAACATCTCCAACAACACAAGGAACAGTTGCCACAACGTTTATAACACAAAGAACAGCTTCTACAACTCGGAACAACTGCAACATTTCGAAAAAACAATACAAGGAACAGTTGCCACAACTTCAATAACACAAGGAACAGCTTCTACAACACCAATAACACAAGGAACAGCTGCTACAACTCCAACCACACAAAAACCAGTTGCTACAACTCCAACAACACAAGAAGCAACTGCAATATCTCCAACAACAGAAGGAACAGCAGCTACAACTCCAACAACACAAGGAACAGTTGCTACAACTCCAACAACACAAGGAACAGCTGCTACAACTCCAACAACACAAGGAACAGCTTGCCACAACGTATATAACACAAAGAACAGCTTCTACAACTCCAACAACACAAGGAACAGCAGCTACAACTCCAACCACACATGGAACAGCTGCTACAACTCACACAACAAAAGGAACAGCTGCTACAACTCCAACAACGCAAGGAACAACTGCAACATTTCGAACAACACAAGGAACAGCAGCTAGAATTCCAACAACCCAAGGAGCAGCTGCTACAACTCCAACAATACAAGGAACAGTTGCCACAACTTCAATAACACAAGAAACAGCTTCTACAACACCAATAACACAAGGAACAGCTGCTACAACTCCAACCACACAAAAACCAGTTGCTACAACTCCAACAACACAAGAAGCAACTGCAATATCTCCAACAACAGAAGGAACAGCAGCTACAACTCCAACAACACAAGGAACAGTTGCTACAACTCCAACAACACAAGGAACAGCTGCTACAACTCCAACAACACAAGGAACAGGCTACAACTCCAACAACACAAGGAACAGTTGCTACAACTCCAACAACACAAGGAACAGCTGCTACAACTCCAACAACACAAGGAACAGTTGCCACAACGTATATAACACAAAGAACAGCTTCTACAACTCCAACAACACAAGGAACAGCAGCTACAACTCCAACCACACATGGAACAGCTGCTACAACTCACACAACAAAAGGAACAGCTGCTACAACTCCAACAACGCAAGGAACAACTGCAACATTTCGAACAACACAAGGAACAGCAGCTAGAATTCCAACAACCCAAGGAGCAGCTGCTACAACTCCAACAATACAAGGAACAGTTGCCACAACTTCAATAACACAAGGAACAGCTTCTACAACACCAATAACACAAGGAAC